GCCCCCCCCCCCCCCCCCGTGGGCCGCTGCATGGGTAGAGCCTCTTTGTCCTCTGCCTGGTCCTGCTCTAAGCATCCTTCAGTACCCCCAGCTGTGTTTCTAAAGCACCTGTCATGGGACATTGGAAATGTGGACTTTGTTTGCTGCACTGGTGCCTAGACTGGGCATAGCAGAGGGGCCACAAGACAGTGGTGATGGATATAAATCTTGTGCCACTGTCGGGGATATCAGGGGGGGTTGCCTGTGAGGTGGATGGGTGAAGTTGTATGGATAAACCTTCAGGTCACTTCCTAGGACTGCACGTGGCTCAGCTCAGGGTTATTTCCTTGCTTGTGTGAGCATAAAATTCAGCTTTTGTTCTGGAAAAACAATCCCTTGGCTACTAGGTTAGAAAAACAAACACAACCAGGTCCAGCAGACAACACCTGCATAAACTATTCATGCAAGCTTCGTATGTCAGCTTTCGTGACATGGAGCATCTTTTTGTGTAGAACGAGGTTCTGTTCACCGAGAGTTTTTCTGTCTGGACTGAAAAGTCTCCCTGACACAACCTCTGTTTCCCATAATGCGATGGGGGAAACTCTTCCATGTGGCTGAGTGCATCACTGGTTAAATGAGATCTCTATGTGCCTAGGGACTACCGAGCCATTCCAGAGCTGGATGTCTACGAAGCTGAGGGCCTGGCTTCGGACGATGAGGACGTGGAGGAGCTGACAGCCAGCCAGCGGGAGGCGGCCGAGCGGGCAATGAGACAGAGGGACCATGACTTGGACCGTGGTCTGGGCCGCATGAGGAGGGGACTGCTTTATGGTAACTCCCATAAGTGCTTTTGCATCACTGACTGCTTTAGCCTACCTCTCCAGGAAGATCTGGTCCTTTACCCAATGGCCTGGTTGCCGTGATGGCGGTAGACCACCTATGGCTTGCAGAGTGTCTGGGTTTCAAGGGAGCAGTGGGCTCACCTGAGCTTCACTAAGTATTGTCTCTGAAGCTGGATATGTTGGGTGCTCCCACACTAACAGCACTCTCCTGACTCATGCGGGTCTGTGGTTGCAGCAGAGCTCAAAAGCTGTGGTTTCCAGGCCCTGTCAGGACAGGGGCTTGGACCCAGTAAGTGCTGGGCAAACTGCTGTGGGTCAGTAGCGTAATTATGGCAGGGTGAGGATGGCATCTGCCAGAGACACCATAGTTTCATAGTTGGTAAGGTCGGAAGGGACCTAAGCAGATCATCAAGTCCGACCCCCCCTGCCATGGGCAGGAAAGGATGCTGGGGTCAAATGACCCTTGCTAGGTGGCTGTCTAGCCTCCTTTTGAAGAAGAAACTTCCCTTGGAAGTTGGTTCTAGCTCCTAGCCATCCTGACAGTGAAATAGCACCTCTTGATATCTAGCCTGAATCTACTCTCAGTCAACTTATGGCCGTTGTTCATTGTTACCCCTGGCAGTGCTCGGGGGAATAGGGACTCTCCCATTGCCTGCTGGTCCCCCTTAGCCAGTTTATAGGCGGCCCCCAGATCTCCTCTCAGCCTTCTCTTGTGGTGGCTGAACAGGTTCAGGCCCTCTCCTTGTAGGGCCTGCCCTGCTGCCCCCTGATCACGCGAGTGGCACTCCTCTGGACCCTCTCCATGTTGGCCACATCCCTCCTGAAGTGTGGCCCCCAGAACTGGACGCAGTGGTCAGGCCGCAATTGGAGTAATGTCGCATAGAGGGGGAGGATCACCTCCTTGTACCTGCTCGTGATGTATCTATGGATGCATGACAAGGTATGGTTAGCCTTCCTGACTGCATCCCCACGTTGGTGGCCCATGTTCATCCTGAAATCAATAGTGACACCAAGATCCTTTTCTGCCTCTGTGCTGACGAGAAGGGAGTTCCCCAGCCTGTAGGTATGGTGCTGGTTCTTCCTCCCCAGGTGCAATACCTTGCACTTGTCTGTATTGAAACCCATCCTATTCTCATCCGCCCACCTCTGTAACCTGTCCAGATCTAGTTGTAGCTTGTCCGTCTTCTACCCCCACATCTTAAGTGTCATCTGCAAACTTGAACAAGGTGCTTTTCACCCCCTTGTCCAAATTGCTGATGGAAGATGTTGAACAGTGTGGGTCCCAGGACTGAGCCCTGGGGAACCCCACTGCTCGCATCTCTCCAGGTCAAAAATGACCCATCCACCACCACTCTCTGGGTGCGGCCCTCCAGCCAGTTGGCGACCCATTTAACTGTGTGGGCATTGACACCACAGTCATCTAATTTTAGTGCCTGCGCCAAATTGGAGCAGGCACTGAAATGACAACTCTCCAACCCCATGCAGCTGCAGTATCCGTCTATGTGACAGGAACATCACCCAGGCAGGGAGCAGGCCTCACTATATTAGCAACCCCTTTGTGAGGAGCCAGCAGCTCCAGGCAGATAGCATCAGCAGCAGCACTTGGAAGAGATTAGTTGCCTTCATCTCAAGGGGTCATGAGTCTGAAGTCAAGTCGCTTCTTTCCTGAATTACAGCTGCTGTGCAACTATTTGGGAGTTCTCAGCCCCATGGTCTCCACTAGCTCTTGGAGCTTTTGAAAATATTTGCTGTTTAATGTATTGCAGAAAGCCAAGAGATTGCCCCTTGTACTAACCACTACCCCCCCTGTTTTTCTCCAAACAGCTTTTTGTGGTTGTGTATTCAGATCAACAATAAGCAATGGTATAAACATGATAGGCAGTTTTCAAATGTAAGTACCTAAGAAAAGGGACTGGTCTCTGCATTTCAACCTTGGGTTTCCATTTTCTGTGTCCTAGGTGTTCATGTGTAGCCAGATGAAGAATTAAGTAACCTAACTTGGGTCTCACTGTATTTTGTAGCTGCCCACCCTCCCTCATAATCCCATAGTTAAGCCCAAGTAACACAGCTTTTCTTTTAATTCAGAGTATATTTCAAGTTTTTAGGGGGGAAAAATATGCTAACAAAACAGTTGTATGGAAGGAATGTGCCTGCAGCTCAACCTGTAAAGCAAGTGGTGGGTGGGGGAACAGATAAGAAGTAAAACAAACCATTGCCATTTGGCCCCATCAAATACAGACCTAAAAGGGCCACCAAAAAAATCTGGAGCTGCTTATTGTAAAGACAAAACGTTTGTAAAGAGGAAATGTGGATGCTTGGTTTTCCAAAGAGTGCCCCAGTACCTTAGTTAAGTCAGCTGACTCATCTTCTATAACCAAGGTAGGAGAAAAGAATGCTGAATTCTGTATTGGAGCTGCCGTCAGCCCAAAAATTGAGGAAACAAGTAATTGTAAATCTGGTCTTGTTTGGAAAAAGTCTTTGTTTTCCTGCATGACAGAAGAAAGAAAAGTACATTTGTAACAAGTCCTAAAACTGCTGATGTACTTACCCTGAGGAGGAGGTATTATATGCTCACAACCCTGGTTTGTGGCTTTTGAACATTACTGATCAATTCAGGAACTGTATAGCTGAAAAAGGTCCAGATAAAAGTAGGATTTGTATTTCTCGCTGTCCATGTCGGGTGATGAAAGGCAGTTCACTTGCGACAGGTTTACAGAAACACTGTGCAATGGAGAGAGAATTGAAAGAAAATGGCTTATGTGTGTAATTTTGAGAAAAGCAGTGTTCTGTTTTCCTTGCATGCTTGTGTGGGCAAGACCCCAGTTTACACCAATTATTTCTGATCCATACAAAGGATTTTCTGATTGGAAACATTTGAACCCATGCGTTCCTGAGCATGAAAGCTCGCCTGAACATTGAGTGTTATCTCAAGTGGAAAATGCCTTACAAAGAAAGCCCTTAGTGGTGATGATAACCTGCAAAGAGCTATCATGGTGGAAAAAGAAAAATGATGCTTGATCCTAAAAGTGATTGTTGATGCCGTGCTCTTTTTGTGTCAAAAATAATTTTGCTCTTCAAGGGCACAGTAAGATTATTGGACAGCCAGGTGTTGGGATCTTCCTGAACTTACTAGCTACTCTCAATTGGATCTTGCCCATCGTACCCAAAACCAAATCCATGATTTGGGAACTGTGACTTACTTCTTCCTTCTGGTCCAAAACAAATTAATTGACATCTTAGGGTCCACAGTTCAGAAAGAAATTCTATCTCTGATACAAGAGGCAAAATGTATTTTTTCGTTTTACTTTGACTGCATAATGGATGTGTCCCAAAAGGAGCAAATGATCAGATACATGAGAGTTGGTGGCAACAGGTGCAGTATTGAAGAAAGCTTTTCCGATTTCATGTAAATGAACAAGAAAGCTGGAAGTGGATTAGCCCAGATCATAGAAAATAAACTCCAATATGATGGTTTGGACATAAAAAATCCACGGCCAGGGCTGTGACAGTGGGGCAAATGTGGCAGGAAAGCATAATGGTACGAGGGCCAGAACGTTGCAGTTAAATGCTTTTGTTAGGTTTGTCCCGTGCACTGCTCGCTCACTCAATTAGCTGGTAAAAATGCAGCTGACATCAATGGAGAAGTAATCACATTTTTGGTACAATTCAGTGCCTATTCACTTTTTTTTGTGAAGTCTTCTGAACATTGGGAAAGACTGTCTTCAAAACATACTGAAAGATCACTTTGACATGTTGAGCTACAAATGCCCATGCTGTGGGCACATTTTGCACTTGGCTGCCAAAAGTAATAGAGGCTTTGCAGAAAGCAAGTGAAAGTAGGGCCAATGCAGACGTTGTGTTTTGATAGCCAATTGATTTATTCTTCAAATTAATTTAAATGTATTTGCCTACTAATCATTTGGGACAAACTTTTGAATTCTAATAACCTTATTAATAAACACTACAGGCAACAAATCTAACAGTGGACAAAGCCTTAAAGCTAATAGATGGTCTGCATGACAGAGTGCGGCAAAGCATTTGCAGTTCTGGATTAGAATCTCTGGTGGGGGAGGCCAGAAGTCTTGTGGAGGCTATGGATGTTGAATCTTTGTTTTGCCACACAAGGAAAATGTGGACAAAGCAGTTGGACCTGGGTGAATCCATGGATGAATCTTGCCATCTGACTTCTGAAAGATCATTCACAGTTCTTGTGAATAATGTACTTGATTCACTCGCATTAGACTTTGAATGGTGCTACGTGATGCTGTCTGAAATGTCATCCAGTTTTGAATTTTGACTTGGAAGGTCCCTGTCACAAATGCCTGAGAGCTGAAAAAATGTACTACCGATCTGGCAACAAAAAAGTATCCAGAGGATTTAAATGCATTAGATTTTTCTTTGGAAATTGAAAGCTTCAAGTTTCAGATGAAAACTATTGTTCCTCCTACACTTCATGATGCTCCTCACCTTGATATCCTGAATTTCCTGTACAGTTTATGCTTGACTGAATTGTACCCTAATATCATAATATCGTACCCTTGAGATTTTTTTTAACCCTGGCAGTAACAGCAATTTCTTGTGAGAACAAGCTGGTGAAAACATTTGCGTTCTACAGTCTGGCAAGAATGTCTTTCTAATTGGCCATCTTGTCAGTTGAACATGAACTTGCCTACTCTATCAATTATGACGAGATCACTGACAAGTTCACCTCTGCCAAAGCCCAGAGTCTTAATATAATTTTTTTCCTTTTGTTCTTCTCATTGAGCTTCTTGTCCCCAGTCTCATCTGCTGTCAAATTCAGACAGTATCTTGGTTGCTTCTACCTTTTTGAAGGAATGGATTCCTTCATTATTCCTTGTACCTTTTAATTTCTGAAAAGCCACTTAAACTTTCACTTGAACAGCAAGGCTGAAAGATATATAAGTAATGTAATGCATAAATCTTCTACAATTTTAGAAGTATATGAATAGTCTAATAATTTGACTGTGTGTCCCATTCCCCCCCTCCCCCCCAATTACATTTCAGTTATTTTTTTCATGTTTTGGTATAACTCAAATGTTCTTCAAATATTCATTGCACCTGATGAAGCAAGCTGTAGCTACATCTCTGACTCAGTTTTTAAGGTGCAACTTTATCCTGCCTTCTGCCTACCTGACATGGCTAACTGCCTCTCCCTGCTTAAATGCCCTTGTGACTGTTGTCATTTTCTTTTCATTTAAAGCAGTATTTTGTGTGTTCCAGTGTTAAGTACAAAATGAGGTCAAGCATAAGATGCATTTTTAATGTTCAAATGCTAGTAAATGTTTCCTTGAGGAAATAATTACTGAGACATGAGTGAATTATTTTACTGATGGAAGGAGGAGGAAGGTACTCAAAAGCAGTGCCCTGGGCAGGGATGAAATTACTAGTTACAACTCTGCTCTGAGTGCCATCCTTATGGGGAGATTAGGTGGGCTATCCAGGCCCTTAGTGCAGGGTAGGGGAAAAGAAATTAAGCCCATATTTCGGTCCCTTCTCTCTCAGGACGCTTCATGTACCTGTGTGCTGTTTTTGGAGGTCTATATTTCTCTAATGGTCTCTGTAATTTTTCTAGGCTTTGTCCCTGTACCTTCCTGTTAATACCCACTATGTGGGAGCTGATTTAGGAAAGAGCACTGGTTTGACATGGCCATTGGGTAGAGGTGAATTTGGTAGGTCTGAGTGCCTGGGATTCTTGACGCTGCATGCCAGGATATCGTTGTCCCCTCAGTTGGTTTGAGAGGCGCCAACATGAACTTCCCCAGCTCTGACTCCTCTTTAAACCTTCAGATAGTGATGATGAAGATGAGGATCGTCCTTCACGGAGGAGGCGGCTGGCTGAACGGGCTGCAGATGGGATGGAGGAGGAGGATGAAGACATGATTGAGAGCATTGAGAATCTGGAAGACATGAAAGGGCACTCGGTAAGGGAGTGGGTGTCAATGGCAGCTCCCCGCCTCGAGATCTACCATCGCTTCAAGAACTTCCTGAAGACCCATGTGGATGACCACGGACACAATGTCTTCAAGGAGAGGATCAGTGACATGTGCAAAGGTATGGCTGGGTGGGGATAGATGATGGTGATGGCTGAGCACACTAGTTCTTGCAGTACTTGCTTGCAGTAGAAGCAGTGCCAGGATGTTTGGGTGGTGCCAGCTTCCTCCTCCTTATTAGCTGATGTACTTCATAGACATCTGCTCATATTTCTCTCGTGTTAACTCAAAAACTCAGCACTTTTTGATAGAGATGTTGGGCATTGCATTATCCAGCCTTCAAACATTCATTCCTCTGACTCCCTTTTAACTAAGATCATGTTCTGCTTGTGTCCATTTCTGCTGGGATCCATACAGTCACATTCTGCCACTAGAATTTTTCTGATTGGAGTCTGGAAGTTTACAGTACTGGGGGGAAAAGGTTTTTGCATTGGTTTCCAGCTACCAAAACCACATCAGCCAATCAGGGAACAGAAATGGCACTATGTGACTGGTCTCCTGAGTCTTGGCTCAACATTTTAGACTTAAACTTCACATAAGGAAACATGGAAGAAGCAGAATTAAAATATCCTGTTGGCTAATCTTTAATTGGCCAATAGGAAAAAATAAAACTTGTTAAACTTAAGCACAATCCATCCAGATGCTGTTTTATTTCTTACTGGAATAGCCGTAGCACCTCAGAGCCAGGGTTGGGGGCTAGAATTGCATTGCGCCGTGCAAACAAAGAACAAAATTAGCCTGTGCCCCATGGAGTGGATACAAGATGCAGATCTTTATGGCATCCAGTCAGCACAGTATCCTGCAGCCACTGATCCATCCCTTTTTGTTGTGGAGGCTTCTGGGTGGTTGGTCTCCATAGCAAGGCCACACCATCTTGGTAATGGTGCCCTGAGTTTCTGTGTTCTTGTAAAGATTCCCATTCTTCATCAGCTCAGCAGCCAGGAATCTGATAATGGTGGGGGGCTTTGCGATAACAGGCTCTGAAAGTTAAAATCCACCCTGGCTTTCTCTGCAGAGAACCGAGAGAGCTTGGTGGTAAACTATGAGGACCTGGCTGCCCGGGAGCATGTCCTGGCCTACTTCCTGCCTGAGGCCCCAGCAGAAATGCTGAAGATCTTTGATGAAGCAGCCAAGGAGGTGGTGCTGGCCATGTACCCCAAATACGACCGCATTGCTAAGGAGATCCATGTCCGCATCTCCCATCTGCCTCTGGTAGAGGAGCTGCGGTCCCTCAGGTAGGTAGTGGAGTTGATGTCTGCTGGTCCCGTGATAGCCTTTGGGTTGTGTGTTGTTTGAGGTGGTCAGGCTTGGCAGAGTTATTCTGGATAAAGTTCTGCGTGAGACTTGGTGAGAGTAGGGCCTTGGGCTTAGCTGAGGGAAGGATGCCCCTTGGTCGTGCTGGCCCCAGCAGGTTGAGATCTCATCACATCAGCAAAGAGACTGCTGTAGGCTCTCCTGTCTTCTCAAAGATCTACATGTAGCCAACACCTCCCCATCTCCGCCTAGGCAGCTGCACTTGAACCAGCTGATCCGAACCAGTGGGGTGGTAACGAGCTGCACAGGGGTCCTGCCACAGCTCAGCATGGTGAAGTACAACTGCAGCAAGTGCAGCTTCATCCTGGGGCCCTTCTTCCAGTCTCAGAACCAGGAGGTGAAGCCTGGCTCCTGCCCCGAGTGTCAGTCTGTCGGCCCCTTTGAAATCAACATGGAAGAGGTAAGAGACCTGCGGGCTGCTAGCACTGTGGTGTAGGGCACTTCCAGCAGCTAGTCCTAACAAAGCTTGTGCCTGAGCCCTCCCCGCATCTCTCCTTACCTGAGCAGTTGGACCCACACTGCAGTATGACATGCCATGACTTGTACCATGTTCACCCCTGTGGTGTGGGACCTTGTCAGGATGCTTGCAGAACTGTCAGTGCTGAGCTTCATGGCCCTCCCTCTCCCCTTCCAAAGCAAGGCTGATGCTGTCCTCCTCTTCCAGCCCAGGGGACTGAGGCACTGCAAGATGGATCAAGCCTCTAAGCCCCAGTCTTACTCTGTTATGTGTCACTCCCCATTGCAGTCCAATGTCTTCAACCAAATGTGTGGAGGGCAAACCCAAAGTCCAGGTGGGCAAAGACTGAGCCTGTCTTGTGGAAACAGGCACTGGCATTAAAGGCAGTGGTGAGGGGCTACTTGGCAAAAGTTTGCATCATTGCTAGGGCTGACTCCCTTCAGCAGTAGCATTGCTTCTAATAACTCCCAGCTCCATGGCCCAGCCCTTCACCTGGAGTACGAGCTCCTTGCTCTAGCATTTCTCCTAGCTTCCACCAGCAAATGCCCTTTGACAAACCCCAGTGCAGGCTTTGTGGGTGTCAGACTTACCATGCGGCTCTTCATTGTCACTGCAGACAGTCTACCAGAACTACCAGCGCATCAAAATCCAAGAGAGCCCCGGGAAGGTGGCTGCTGGGAGGCTGCCCCGCTCCAAGGACTCCATTCTCCTTGCTGACTTGGTCGACAGCTGCAAACCAGGAGATGAAATTGTAAGTCCCTTGCCTGGATTAAAGATGGGGTGGGCAGGGAGTGGTTACATTTTTATTTTCAGCCCACCTCCCAGTGGTGCTCTCAAGCCCATTGTCTTGAGTGTGAAGGGATAAGACTTCTAGGTCATGTCCACCTGATTTTGAATTGCTTGGATGAATCTAATGCATCCTTCCTGTGCCATCCAGGAGCTCACCGGGATCTATCACAACAACTATGATGGCTCCTTGAACACTGTCAATGGGTTCCCAGTGTTTGCAACAGTGATCCTGGCAAATCACATCACCAAGAAGGATAACAAGCTGGCAGTTGGGGAACTAACTGATGAGGATATGAAGACGATTGTGGGCCTGTCCAAGGATGAACAGATTGGGGAGAAAGTAAGTTGGCTTCATGCATCACTTGTCCAACACCCAGCTATGGGCATGGGGTCCAGACCACAGAATGCCCCATGTTCCAGTGGGGGACTTCTAGGCAGAGGGTCACCAGTGACTGAAAACCTTTGTTGCTACAGCTCTCAGGCAGCTGTTGGTGAGAGGTGAGAAAGCAGACAGAAGAGGGGAAGTGGTTGAAGTGCTTCCTCTCCCCCTCTCCCTATTTGCTGTGTGCACTGAACAGCCCTCTGTCCAGTATCATCTTCACCATTCCTCTTGAGTAGATGGTTTTCCTTCTTGTTTGGGCAAGTCCTTCCCCCCACAATGTGGGCAAAGGAGGAAAACATGACTGGGCATGGCAGAAGAATTGATTGGAAGAACCCCTAGACATGTCTAGAAACTAGATAGATGCTGGCTTATGGATGCATCTCTGAGGCAGTGGCCCCTTGGTGGTGGTGGGAAAACAGAGAAGGTCTAGCCCAAACGGTCTGTGATACCCTGGCACCTCTCTGTGTGTTCCCTAAAGGGAGTCTCCTTTTTCCCTTTAAAACACTTCTCAGTCCCTCGTACCAGAGGGTTGTGATTTCAGGTGGAAAAGGAATAAGACTAACTTCAGCTACTAAGGTAACAGCTCTACTTCTCAATGTGCTAGGACCTGAGTTGGATGCATGAAAGAACAGATGCAAAACAAGGGTGTCTTGCACCTGCCTCATGAAGGATGTGAAATGTGGTAGACTTCAGCTCTTTTGGTCACAGAACAATGTTATATTCAGTCTTGTTTCTCTAAGTCTGTTTCCACTGGGTGGAGCTGCTCCCTTGATAAAGCCAAATTTTGGGAATAAAACTTATTTCGTTCTTCCCTCCCTGCAAAATCTGGGGGTTGTGACATCAGTTATGACTATCCAACTTTGATTAGAATTTACCTGAATAGGCCTTGCTTGGGGATGCAGGAAACCCACTGCCTGCCTGGCTGCTGAAATTGGGTGTCCCCATCACCTACCTGCAACTCAGCTCACCTGTGCAGAGTTATCCCAGCCCACAGTCAGTGAATATTGATACATCCAGTTAAGCAGTCTGCAGACAGAATTAAGCTTTCTAAGGCAGAATGAGAGGTCACAGATGGGCACAGACATACTAGTGCAGCCAGTGCGGTAAAGGCAGGACTCTCCTGCGTAGGGCTGCAGAATGCATCCTGCTCGGCTCAGCAGCACCGGGCTCTGGCAGGACCTCCCCAGCATGTTGGCTGCATTTCTTGCATTTGTGCAGTTCTCCTCTGCCAGAACTATGGAAGTCAGCAGTGCAAGCAGGATCCCTGGTGCTACTGAGCCTTGCTGCTTCACACACCAAATGCTGCATGTCATGGATAAGGGCACTGACCTCTGCTCTCGCTTTCAGATCTTTGCCAGCATTGCTCCATCTATCTATGGGCATGAAGACATCAAGAGAGGCCTGGCCTTAGCTCTTTTTGGTGGTGAGCCCAAAAACCCAGGTAGGTGATAATTGGTGTTGACTCAGCGTATGGCACAGATGAAAGTGCTAGTGTTCAGACTGGTCTCTGGTAGAATGAGACATACCAGGAAATCAAATTGGGCCTACTAGGTGACAGGCTGGGAGTCATAGGTCTCGTTGTGTTGAAACATCAAGTGTAAAAGTGATTTCTTTAGTGCTCTGACACAGGAGTGGAAGTACATTAGCTAAAAACAAGGTACCTGGCAAGAAGTTAGCTAAAAAACAAGCTGTTCAGGACAACTGCTCCACAACAGTCTGGGTTTGGGGATGTGCTGGGGGTTCTGGCACCAGGAAATCCTGACCTACACATCTCCCTAGGGTCGGAAGAGCCTTACTCAGCTGAGATCAGATGTGTGTTGTATTTTGCATCTGTGCTTAAGAATAAGGTTCCACTGTGGAGGGGGCAGGGAGGAAGCTGTTTCAGTAGGAGCCAAGGTGCTTTGTCACCATGATGTAATGGAGCTTGATCTCCTGCAGTTCATCACAAAACACCAGCAAATGTTAATCACTGCACCATTTAGCGAAATGGGATTTTTTTCCCCCCCTCACAGACATGTAACAAGGGCCATTCTCACACTGATCTGTGCATGAGTTTTTGCTTGGGAAGTGGGGGATACTGAGCCATGTGCACTTGTACAGTTTGAGAGGGATGACCTGAGGCTTCCTGGTTCTTGGAAAACATCAAGCACTGAATTTCTTGTGAAAAGCTATCTTGTGAAACTTTCTGGTTCCTTGCTTTGTTCTCCTCTTCAATTCCCTGTTGCCCCACTGAAGGGCAGTGTCTACAGCTGCCATATAGAACAGCTCTCGCCCCAGTCTCTCCCATGTCTCCTCTGCTGCTGCAGGTGGCAAGCACAAGGTCCGTGGTGATATCAATGTCCTTCTGTGTGGAGACCCTGGCACCGCCAAATCTCAGTTCCTCAAGTACGTGGAGAAAGTGTCTAGCAGAGCCATCTTCACCACTGGCCAGGGTGCATCAGCTGTTGGTCTGACCGCCTATGTCCAGAGGCACCCAGTCAGCAGGGAGTGGACACTGGAGGCAGGAGCCCTGGTGCTAGCAGACAGGGGCGTCTGCTTGATAGATGAGTTTGATAAGGTGAGTGCTGGGTTCTGGATGGTGAGGCAGAACAACAGTGGGGCAGGCTGGTGGCCTTCTGGCCAAGGGGCTCCACCAAGGAGTTTCTTCCATGCTGGCAGCTGCTGAGTATGCCTTGCATTAGGCCCCAGGCAGGCTTACAGCGCAGTCTACTCATGTGGTGTGTAGAAAGGTACTTGATGTCTGCAGTCTCCGACAGTGACACATGCCTGCTCTAGTGATGCAGAGCTTGTGTGTTGGGCACCGTGTGGAAGCATTTCTTCCCTGAGAGGCACCAAGCATTGCCCTTCCCCTACTAGGCCTACATTAGATTGAGTGGTGTTGGAGCAAAAGGCTTTGCTTCCCAGCAAACTGCATGACTTGGTTACCAGGGGAGTGGTCTGCTGAGAGTCATCAGCCTCAGTCCCAGCTGCCTGCAGCCCCAGCAGCTAGGCTCTGAGGAGAAGGACCCGAGTGGCTGCAGGTGACCTGTAATGCTGAGGAAGCAGGTGCCTCCTGCCCAGGAAGAGCCCTTGCTTCTCTGCACACCCAGGTCTGCACTACAGCCCCTCCCATCTTTGCCCTGTAAGCCCCTGTGGAGGGGAGCAGGCAGGGATCAGTGATTGTGTGACCCTCTTGGCACTTACTGAGTCCAGGCTTATAGAAGCTTAACACTGTTCTCTTGCTCTCCTCCAGATGAATGACCAGGACAGGACCAGCATCCATGAAGCCATGGAGCAGCAAAGCATCTCCATCTCAAAGGCAGGCATCGTCACCTCCCTGCAGGCCCGCTGTACTGTCATAGCAGCTGCCAACCCCATAGGTAAGTGTGGGGACTCTGGAGGTAGGGTGCAGAGTCTTTTTGGCAGGGTTGAGGTTGGACTTGCCCAAAAGCCTCCGCCTATGAGATGTTCAACTCTAACGGTCTCTCCCTGTGTCCTAGGTGGGCGCTATGACCCATCGCTGACCTTCTCGGAGAACGTGGACTTGACCGAGCCCATCATCTCCCGATTTGATGTCCTGTGTGTGGTGAGAGATACGGTGGACCCTGTTCAGGTATGAGCCAAAATGTGAGCTGCAACTTGAGCTGGGAGGGGGCTGCTCTCTGTGCTGAGGGCTTCGATCCAGATGCCTGCTGTGCCAAGGTAGCATCAAACCTGTGAGCTCTGGAAAGCAGTAGAGCAGACTGACCGTAGGCCCCTTGAGGCCTCTCCTTCTCTAGGGCTCTCAGCCTTGGCCTGCAGCTACTAACCTCTGCAACTCCCTGCATGTCTTGTATTCCCTCTCTCTTCTTTCTGCCCTGTTTTCAGCCAAGCAGAAAAGCCTATGAATTGGCCACCCCAGGGGGTGAGGATGCTACATCCCTGACAGGGAGCTAGAGACCTTCAGAGAGCTGTAGCCCCATGCCCCGCCCTCCAGAGTCGGTCTGTCAATGAGATTTCTCGGGGACACGTACAGCATCATCCTTGGGGCTAGACTCTTCTGTCACAGCTTGGTGCCCTGTATCCCTTCTGCAGGGGGGATTTTGCCCTTCCAGCTCCCAAAATAGCGACCTCCCTCTGCATGTAAATTGTAAGAAAAGATTTGGGAGGATTTGGTGGCAGCTTACAAATACATCAGAGGCAAGGATCAGGGGCTAGGTGAACAAGTATTCACCAAAGTGCCCCAGGGAAAAACCAGGAGCAACGGTCATAAACTCCTAGAAGAAGGTTTCAGACTGGATATAAGGAAAAACTTCTTCACGGTTCGTGTGACCAGAGTCTGGAATAGACTCTCAGTGGGAGTGGGAGGGGTGTAGGTAGCTACCCTGGAGACTTTCAAACAGAGGCTGGATGCACACCTTGCTGGGATTATTTGGTCCCAGCAGTCTTTCCTGCACAGGACAGGAGGGCTGGACCCAGTGATCTCACAAAGTCCCTTCCAGCCCTAAACTTCTGTGAAACTGTTGGATGCCCTGCTTGGAGCTGGTGAATGTGGCTCCCTGGACAGCAGGGTCACTGTCTGATACCACGAGCCCTACCTTCCCTTTCCCAAGGCCTGGGTGTGACTCCAAGCCTTCATCAGCCTAGTCAATGGACTAAGAATTAACTCCACATCCCTGGCCTGAGTACAGCCTTTAGCCAACAACCTGTATGCATCCTTCTCTGGTGTGAGGCTGCTTGTTGTAGCTGCAGCTGAGCTGCACTAGTGGTTGTGGTTCTGCAGCTGGTAACTTCACTGCCTGTTCTTCACCCTTTCTCCCATAGGATGAGATGCTTGCCCGCTTTGTCGTGAGCAGTCACATCAAGCATCACCCTGGCAGCAAGGATGTGGTGAACGGAGATAGTCAGGAGATCATCCTCCCCAACACCTATGGTGTGGACCCCATCCCCCAGGAGGTCCTGAAGAAATACATCATCTATGCCAAGGAGAAGGTCCACCCCAAACTCAACCAGATGGACCAGGACAAGGTGGCCAGGATGTACAGTGACCTCCGGAAGGAGTCTATGGTGAGGGGATGTAGGAAAAGGGGCTTAGTTCATGCTTTTAGGAGGGGGCACTAGCTGGATCAAGGGCGAGGCAGTGACTACCCTAGCACAGGCCATGTTCTTGTCATGACCATCACCTTAGCACCTGGTGCAAGACTCTACCACCTTTGTCATGAAGTAAGAGCTTGTTGGCAGAGTCTTGCAGGAATCCATGGGAATTGCTTCAATCCCTCAGTCCAGCTGGCACGGACCCGATACACTCCTGCCTTGTCCCTGTCTCTTCTCCATCCACAGGTGCAGAGGAAAGACTAGTGGCTGTAGGGGCTTCTGGCTCTGTTTTCCCCTGTGGCTGACTGTAGAACCCACTGGGATTCGGGGTCTCCTCCTGAACTGAGGAGTAGAGTTTGCAGTGGCTCCAGGGAGTTCCTCAGAGTGGGGAAAAGCTGGTTTAACATCTGGCTTTAGTCTTTTTAAATCTTTCTACTCAGAATTGGGGGGAGAGAATTGATTACTTCTTCAAGCCATCTTTCTCCCCTCTGCATAAATCAATCCAGAGGCAGAAACGCGATGGTTTTGAATGGCCTTTACAGCTTGCCTTTTGAATGAATATCGGCATTGGCTACTTGCAAGCCATAGGATCCTTGCTGTGGCTGCTCTACATCATGTGTGCCACCAGGTGGTGCAGCCCTCCCAGCCTCTGAAGCTCCCTCACCACAAAGGTTCAGGAGGGGGCTGCCTTGTCCCCTTGGATCTCGGGCAGAGGTGGAGGGCAAGGGGGTTCCTTGCCTGTTCTGTGCCTCTGCAGCATTGTCCCTCCTCTCTGTCTGTAGGCCACGGGCAGCATCCCCATCACGGTGCGTCACATCGAGTCGATGATCCGCATGGCCGAGGCGCATGCCCGCATGCATCTGCGGGATTACGTGGTGGAGGATGACGTCAACATGGCTATCCGGGTCATGCTGGAGAGCTTCATTGACACGCAGAAATTCAGCGTCATGAGGAGCATGCGGAAGGTGGGTGGGCTAGGGCAGTCTAGGCCATCCCAGTTTTTGAGGGGCTGGGTGGAGACATGGCTTAGCTAGGTGGAGGATAAGGCTACTCATACTGGTTTGCACTGGACAGTGGCCCTCGCCTCTGAGTAGGGCTTCAGTGAGCCTCTCCTTGCTACCCTGGGGGAAGAAGCTGCTCTGCCCTAGAATACAGTGGGCCAGGCTTGTAGTAGAAAGGTGCTTGCACCACCTCTGCAGAACATCCTTCACTTAAGGACTGATGCAGAGCTGATAAAACAGAGCATTTAGGGGGTAGCTAAGGTGTGGTGCCCTGTGTCCTGGGCTGGTGTGGTGTTCCATGGGGATCTCAAAGAAATGGCAGGGTGGAGAGCTTCCCTAATCTCATCCTCTGCAGTAGCGGGTTGGAACCAAAAACTGCCACTTTGGAAAAGTACCTGAAGGTGAAAAACTCCATCTGACCAGTCTCACTGTATTGGGAGTAATGCCAGGTCCTGTGCCCTTCTCCTGTGACACTTGAGCTCTGGTCCTTTTGCCTTCAACTCATGGTTACCAAATGCAAGCAGAGGATCACTTAAGCTCCTTTGCCTGGCCCTGCATGTGCAGGCCCTCAGTGAGTCCAGCTTCAGCACGGACTCGTTTCTAATTAACGTCTGGGTCTTGACTGGGCGTGTGCTGCCCCAGCCAAGCCCAGGAGGCTGCAGTGAAGTGCTTTGTGTTCAAGGCCGAGGAAAGCTGCTCTGTCCCTGGCCTTATTTCCAGAGCTGCCTTCCTATGGGCTTGATGCTTGGAAAGCTTCAGGGCTGTCCCCCAAGCCTGGAGGAATGTCATATGGCACAAATAGCAGTGGCCCAGTCAGGCATGTTAACCCTTTCAGTTCTGTAGATCACACTGCTCACTTGCATGACCAGCAGTTTATCAATAGCTTTGTGCCCCAGAGGCACATCTGGACCCCACAGAGCATGTAAAATTGGCATTACAGTGTCCTCAGGGAGCGAGCTGTTTCTCCCTCTGGTTCTAATCGCTTTGCCTCGTGCTCTTCTCCCCAGACCTTCTCCCGTTACCTGGCATTCAAACGGGACAACAATGAGCTCTTGCTGTTCATTCTGAAGCAGCTGGTGGGTGAGCAGGTGATGTATCAGAGGAACCGCTACGGGGCCCAGCAGGACACCATTGAGGTGCCAGAGAAGGACCTGGTGGATAAGGTAAGGGACAGGATCTCTGCTAAGCTGTGTTGGAGAGTGGGGGGTGGGAGGAGAGTAGTAACTAGCCTTCCACTTCCCTTGGGCTCCACTTTCCACATTGGGTGCTTATGGACCCTGAGCTGTGGTTGCTGCCAGGAAGAGGAAACGCTTGTGACCTCAGAGATGAGGAAGGTGCCAGCTGCTTCTGCCTTGCAGGAAATAATTGATGCGTCTTCCAAAGGGTCTTCTCTGGGGTGCTCTGCTCCCACTGCCACAATCTGTCTGTCTTTGCCCTCTTGAAGAGGACTTGCATTATTAGAAACAGCCTTGCTGAGTTGCTGCACCAGAGGAACCCTGCATGAGATGGAAAACCTTTCAAGTCGAATCTGGCTCTATCTGTTTTCCCTCTCCTTGTCTTTCATCTTGGCAATCGAAGTGAAGCAAACTAGTGGATTTAGCTTATTCCTAATCTTCCCCTGTGCCTTGGGCTCTCATGCACTAGCAGAGTAGCATTGGGACAATAGAGCTCAGACTGTGGCATGCATGATAAGGGTAGGTGAGGCTGCAAGGTCCCTGCCCCAGGGCAGTTAGTGTGAAGAGGCAGTGAGGTGGTACACCAGGAGAAGCAAGCAGTTATACAAGCAGCAATCATTAGATATTGCTCACGCCCCCCCTCTTCCTCTGACAGGCATCTGCTCCTTGTGGGGGGCTTCCCTGTGTGGTAGGTCACTTAGAAATGGGTAACTTGTGGCCCGACCAGTTTGTTTTGCAATGCTGGCACCCAGCAAAGTACAGTAGGAAACTTCTCAATAGCTTTCTCCTTTGTTTCTTGGACCCCATCTAACTGCATGTTGGGCCTATGTGATGGGTGCTGAGGATCTCCACCACCACCTTATTAGAGGAGATGGTGATCTGTCCTGTGTGAACAGAATTACCTCAGGAGGAGGCTTGAACTTCTTCCACTGTGGCTACATGTTTGGTGCAATGGAAATGAAAGGACAAGATGGCACCAGGCAACTGGAGAGCAGGTGTCCTTGATACGGCTTTGTTAGGCTCCTGAGCCCTGACCTGCAGTCTTCCCTGTTCGTCTGCTGGGCCATGCTGCTCAAGAGGTGTGGCCTTGGCTGTGAAAAGCCTTAGGGCTTGAAGTGATTGTATGCATGTTAACTCCCTGCCAATCCTCTCCCAGGCTCGCCAGATCAACATCCACAACCTCACTGCCTTCTACGACAGTGAACTGTTCAAGATGAACAAGTTCTCCCGTGACGTGAAACGGAAGCTGATTGTCCAGCAGTTCTGATGGCGGTGGCAGAGCCTCTACCCATACCAACAAGATGAGATGTCGGTGCTGCTTCTGGCCTGGGAATGTGAGGGGACATGGGAACCCGGAGGACTAAGCTATTCCCTTGCTTGCTTCATGGCTTCTGAATTGAGGGAGCGCTGAAGGACTTGTACATACGACAGCCACGCCTGGATAAATCTGTTAGCCACATCAGTAATTAACTGCTTTGTCTTGTAGCTGAGCCCAGTGGGCAAGAATAGCTGGTGACGAGACTTGGTTTTCAGATTCGTCCCAGTTCCTTGGTGCTGATCTCAGCTCGGAGGTTCCACCTGCAGGGTTGGCTGGAGCGGGAGCAGCAGAAGGCACCTGTCCTCCAAGCACTTGCCAGTCGGATCCCAAAGGCCTTCTGTGTTCTTCCCTCCTGTCTCACTACTGCACTGTCTGATGGGCAGCAACCAAGACTGGGTCATGGGGAGTTGAAACCAACTGCTGGGGAGATGGAAAGGTGCTGGCCTCTCAGCTCAGCTCCCTGGGCCTGACAGTTAGTGTTTCCCCAGGCCCCCTTCTTGGGCGTGCTTGCTGCTTGGCCTCAGCAGGGGCCTGGTGAGACTTCTAACGTGACAAAAGCATGACATGACAGTACGAGGCAGTCTGCTGGCCTCTTTTCCATGTGTCTTGCCACTCCTGTATGTTGTGGGGCAGTGCCCCAAGCCTCAATGGGGTGTCAGGTGCCTTAATGGGTGGCATGGTCAGTCGTAAGGGGTGGGGGGATGGGGTGAGAAGTAATAATTAGACCAAGCACCAGAGCTCAGGTTGTGCTGATGACCTAGGAATGGGGCATTGCTCCCAGTCAGCAAATCTGTGTTCAGTGCCAAGGCAGAGCTGAGACAAGGGGGAAGAGTGACCTCCGATTCTTTAGTACCTGGGATGGAGAGGACCCAAGAGGGCAACATGAGGGGGCTGGAGTGGGATGAAAGGTCTAGAGGTTTTGAAGTGTCAGATCTCCTGTTTGTGCATCACCTGTGGTTCTGCTCGTTTATTGTATGTGTTTAAATATATGTGTTTGCTATAGCTATGCATTTGTGGTCGTCTGGGAGTGTCCACCTCTGCACTAAGGAAGGACAAGCAGAGCTGAGCCTCATGCCTGGTCCCCCTCCCTCATCCCCTTGTTCATAGTGGCTGCTGCCCTGTCCTACATGGAGGTTTGCTGTGGGGGTGAGGGAGCTGGTTTCAACTCCTGGGATAGAATATCCTGGCCTCACTCTAGCCCTGAGCTGGAGCTGTCCCCTTGGGTGGAGAAGTAGGAATGGACTTGTGGCTATGGTTGTTTCTCTGCATTTCTCCTCCAGGTCCCTGTGCTGCGGTGTAGAGAACAGGCAAGTGCTGTGCAGGCCAGGGAATGACTGACCCTCTGCCAGTCCTGCCTGAATCATGGTCAGATGCACCGAAAATGGGGCCCTATGAACCTATCTCAGCTCTTACCTTTTGGGAATGCAGGAGGAGGGGGGCCACAATTGGCTGGCCACAATCTACCTGTATGCAATAGGGAGGTGCTTTCAGGTCCCACAGGCCCTTTGGGCTCTCCTGCCTTCCCTATGAGCTGCTGTGTTGCCATGTCCTCGTCTGCAGCCCAGTAACACCAGTTCCCACCCTTCTGCCTGCCTTTCATTGTGCAACCTCCTTGTCAATTGATAGCCTGGGCTAAGTGGAAACCTCACTCCAGTGTGGAAAAGGTCTAAGGCCAGTGCAGGGAAAGTTGGTATTAAACACAGTGGCCATGTCAAGCTAGCGCCACCGTGGCCTAGCGGCTAAAGTGGTTCAGGCACGCTGACTGTTGTAGCCAGCCGCTCATAAGGGAGGAGCAGGGTTAGTTTCCTGTCCAGCCATCTGACTCCCCAGCCCACGCAACCACCTGCCTATTTAGAGCTGGGCCAAGTAGAAGGAGGACTTCAGCTTTGAGTCTGCAGCCAGGCTCTAGCTCATGCCTCCAAAGAGGTCCTCATCCTTGTGCAGCAGACATGGCAAATTGCCACCCTGGTCCTGGACTACTGCTGCCTAGCTGAGGCTGGGTCTCTAAAATGGCTGGCCACGCCAGTGATTTGGATGTTGTAATGTGTATCACTGTATCACTGGCTCTGAAACTGTAGTGTCTGTGTTCCCGGCCAGCTTGGCTGCAGCCCTGCTAGCTAACGGCATTTGTTCCTGCCAGGTACCTGGGTTAGCACATGATTCGCATCCCGTGCCGGGCTTGGCAACGGCCACTTATGCTGTGTGTCGGGCTCCCTTAGTATGTTTGTTTAGCTGGCTTGGCTGGGCTCCCTTGCTCCTGGGTCTCTGCCGAGCAGGGATTCCTCTGCAGCTTGCGGAGATACTTGCCCCTCAGTCTCTATGCCTGTGTGGCTAGCTGGGGTGTGAGCTGTGGCTGCATGCGCACAGCTGTGGTGATGACAGAGCTGCTGGGGGGACAGACACCCTTCCTCACTACCAGTGTGTTTTAATGTTTGCTCTCAAGCCATGGTTAAAAGCTCCAGTGTGGTGAGGACCTTGGGATGAGCACAGAGTGGTTTTTAACACCTTACCTGCTTGTGTCTGAGGCAAGATGTGCAAAGGCCCTGGGAGAGTAGCTGGGATTACTGAAAAGTGGTGTCTGGCCCTGCCACTTGTTCCTCTCCATCCTGAACTTCATTGCTGTCTAGCTGTGGAGGAAGCTGCTGCTGAGGAGACTTTGTGCTAATCCAGAGAGAGGCACAGCCAGCCCTGTACACCAGTGATGTGACGGCCTCTTCTGAACCAAATGTGTGTGTTTGCATATTGTAGCAGCTGAGGTCAGGAGGGAGGAGGAGACCTTGAGATGGGACACAGGTAAATGGCTTTGAACATGAGAGCATGACAAATGAGACAGACAATTTTGTGCCAGGAGAACCCAGGAGTCCTGATTCCCAGCTCCTTCTGCTAGCAGGGGACAGTGGCTTAGAATTACCCTTTAACTTTATTTTACAGCACTATATAATTGAAACTTGGTGACTTTTTCTTTGTTAACTTCTTGATTGGCTTGGTAGGAGCTGGCTCTTTGTTTTCTGGTCTGGAATGCAGTATTGGGAGCAACTGGGTCTCCCCACCCCCTGCCTTTGGGGTGGTCACTAGGTATGTACTCTCCATGAGATACGGCTCATGTAAAGTGGACGGGGAAGGGCTGATGTCAGAACAGGGATAGGAGAGCGTGGGAACAACCTCTAAGGTGGGAAGCAGATGCTTGTTTTAGTCCTGCAAGAAGTCAGCTACACCCTCCTCCCCAGAGAGGCTGGGAAGGGAAAATAGTGTAGCAAAGATTGTCTGCAGTGAAAAAATGCAAGAACCATCCATTTAGGATACTGCCTTAGCTCTGGACTCACCAGGAGCCCTTAATATTGGAGTAGCTACTTTGCCTTATCTTGTTTTGTGGCCAGCACAGGAGTAAAGGGCCACCTAGGAAATCAGGCCCTTGCTGAGGCTGGCGTTTGGCTGTGAGAGAGCTAATGCTTGGCCAACAGCATCTTCCTTCTCTTGTGGTTGCTGGGAGTTCATATTCCCTGGAGTTAGCACCAGCCAGCTGCAGTGGTAGGCATCAGGCTGAGCAGGCGTGCTGTGAAGGGTGAAAATGTGCTTCTTCAAGCAGAAGCAAACTTTGGTTGGAGGGTTTTCCTGGGGGGCAGTAACAGCTGATCTGTAGGGCTGCAGAGAGAAGACTGCATTTTGTCATGGGGCACTTCACTGGGAGTAGCTTCCTTGGAAGTTCTTTCCTCCTTCCCCCATGCCGGTCCCAAGTTGGGGCTTGAGACACTGCATATAGTAGCTGTTAATGCCTGGTGAAATGGACTCAGCAGGACGGTCTTGTGTGATGCGAGGTGGGCTGGGGCCCTGGCTTGATTTTTGTACCTCTGTCTGGAATAGCAGAGATGCACAGTAACTGGGATAGTGCTTGCTAGGAAATACTCGGGGGCCAGTTAAGTAAGATCATGTCACTACAACCTGCAAAGTCCCCTGTTGGGACTCTGGCCCCTCCTGAATGCTGAATCAGGCTGGCTTCCGAAGGGCTTCAGCATGACTTTGAAACATGAGCAAAAAGAGCAGGGTTGGCCAGAGTCTGACCTGGGAAAAGCTGACTATGCTCTGTGTAAAATCACAGTCTGGAGGAACGGCACGTGTGCATGCACTTAAAGAAGCAGCCACTCAACCATGGCCCAGTAAGGGAGCTGTGGATGAGCATCCAGCCACGTGAGCCTTGAAGTGCCTCTGCACAGATAATGCTTCTTGGACTGGGGTAGATAACCAGCTTGCTTGACATGAGTTGTAGATGGCTCCATAAACATAACGGCAAGGCTCCCCTGTTTCTGCAGGCTCTTTGCAGAAGAAGGTTGAACAGTTCAGTGGTAGCTCTGATTTCACCACTCGTCTCTCTTGAGTAACAATTATCATAGACATGAGTGTGCTTAGCAAATGACTAGGATTCATTATTGTGAATCCTGCCTTTGTTTCTACAATGGCTCTCACAAAATAACGTCATCATAGCTTGGACAGCTTAGTGTGTACTCTTACCTCTGGATCAACAGTCCTTCACAAGCTTCTGTGGCAAATTTTGACTAGAAATTCTCTTTCTCTGGATCCATCAAGCTGTAGACTGCCTTACTGAGTAGTTCCTTCCTGACATGTCTCCCATTTATTTGTTTAAAAGTATCTTTTTTGGCTTTGACTCTTGTGCTAAAAGGTCATATCACTCCTTGTCCTGGAGGAGGCCAATAAACTGTGGTTCAAACATCAGAGCCACTTCACTTGGCAATGGAGCTACAGAGCCAGAATGAGTGACCAAGCTTTAAGTCCCAAAATGGGCATAAAGGGGACTTGAACCCCAGTGTCTCATAACTGACTGGAGTGCTACAACCAGAAGGCTACAGGCTGTGCTGGGCTCTGTCATTTGAGCTTACCCCAGTGCAGAATGGAAAGTTTTCTGTAATCCTAAGTTCTTGTGGGTTTTCCATTACTTCATCTGCCATCAACATGGGAAGCCTTTTTTGAGATGAGAGGAAGCTTACTGGGATCAAAGCAGGGATGAATGGGTGAAATTCCCTGGCCTGCGCTATAGAGCAGGTTGGACTAGATGACCTATTGGTCCCTTTTGGCTTTTTAACACCTCTGTGATATTAGTTTAGCAGTCCATTTTTAATGCATTTCTGGCAACTGTGAATGTGTTAGCACCGTGAAGCAGACTTGGCTGAACTGCTCTTCCAGGAGCAGGGGATTATAGCGCCAGAGCCAAAGGAGAGTCTTAGCAATGGTGCAGTTTGATTCCACCCTCAGGCTGGCAGTGCTAGGACTACACTGTGGCCCATCAGATCAGTTGCTCTCTCTCTTTTTTCCTTTTCTTCCTCCTTTAAAAATTGCCACTTAAGAGCAGCAACACTGTGAAGGCAGGTGTGAACTCTTGTGTTTTGGTTCAAATTAAAATGGAGAGTTTTGGCTAGGGAAAGCAGTAGGGATGCAGGAATTCCAGGGAAGGAAAGGAAAGTGTGTGGCTTGTTCTGTCTGTCGTGCCTCGGATCAGAGGCTTTCAAATCAAGTTGGCCCCTATGCTGCAGGTAGGGTTTAGGCCCCTGTCATAAAGGAAAGAGGCTACAAACAGACATTACATTTGTCCTGGGATAAACCATTTTATCCCAGGACTAACACAAGTGTCCAGACATATGTGTCTGTTGTTCTGGAATAAATCCTAATAAGGGTCATGGAGTATGCAGTACTAACAGTTTATCCAGGGGCATTGCAGAGTGCGTCTGAACTGTTATCCTGGCATTGCATCATTGAGTCAACAGCAAAAAAGCAGCAGTGCATTTAGCCCCTTGCTAAACCCTGATTAGAAGGGTGAAGTATGTACAGGTCAATCCTGGGATACTTCTGTTCCTGAACAAAACATAGGCACAACTTGTCCAGGGGTAAATGCAACATCTGTTCCTACCCAAACTGAGACTCGGAAGTGAACCGGCTCACCCAGAAGCTTTCAGCCAGTGGAAGAGTTAGAAGGGAAAACAAGTCCTTACTCCTACTCATGGGTGCTATATCCAGTAGACTCTACTCCTGCCTAATTACGGCAAACGTTGAAAGCATTAATCACTTTGGGCCACTTATCTTGATGTGTTGTTGCATGTCTCCTAAATCCAAGCCCTGATAAATGCAGGAGTTGCATTTGCGTGGGGAGCAGAGACAAAGCATGTGTCCAAAGTGTTGTAAGAATAGAATCGGTGCCTGCCTCTGCTTGGTACAGTCACAAAATGTTTTGGTGTCCCAGCATTAAAAGGGCTAAGTCAACAAATGAGCTTAGGTAAATCTCTTTTGAAAAGAGACCTCATGCATGCTTCTACAAGGGACAGATTAACTCTTTCCTCAAGCCTTCAGAGGAGGCGTAAGGACTGGGATGCCAAGAAACATGCCCCCTCTTCCTGCTATGAGGAGAAGGAAAAGGGTGGATGCGAAGCCAAAGTGCAGGAGTGATGTTGCAGACTGCGCTCAGTTTTGAGGTCTGTTACTACCTTTTTGTAGGCACCTGGGTCCTTCCCCAAAGACCTTTATTGTCTGAATAGGCTGGACAAGGTGAGAGGAAGGAATCCGTCTTCTCTTGCATCTGAGGAATGGGAAAACAGACAGACTGTTCCCTTCTCCACGTACAGAGCCTAGCATGAGGCCTGGTGTGTCTGTGTGTGTGTTCCCCTTTTCTCTCTTCCTTTAACTAAAACCTTTCTTTGGTTACTAGTAACACCTCACATTTCTAAGACTGTTAGCATTTAGCATCTAATCACTTCACCTCAATAGTAGTGCAGTCTTTGCTTAGCTGAATGATGGTCACTGGTTGGTTTAACCTTCAATTTTGCAGTGATTGGCTCAATGTTGCATTCTCTTGGTCACTGAACCTTTTTTAAAGGAACACATTTGTTTAAAATGTTTAAAAAAAATAAGAGCTTAAAAAAAACCAAAAACCAACCCTGTAATTCCAGCAACGTTTGGATTTGCATTTTTCTTTTCTATTTGTCTCATTCCCTGAGAGCTATTCATTAGTCATGTGCAAGGCTCTTGAGGCAAAATTGGACTCTAAACCCAAAATGAGAAAACTACTTGCCCTGAAGACCTTGTCTTCCTGTGCAGCATTAGAAATAAAAAGGAATCTCTGGAAGTAAAAACTGAGGTAAAATGGACCTGAGGCACAGCTTTCTTGTGATGTCTTTTATGGAATCAACTATATAGTTTGGAGGGTTGTTGGAGAAATTTTCGGGCACATGCCATCCTTTCCTCAGGGTCCAGACTGGTGGGAGGGATCTAAGCTATGTAAATCGGGGACGGTTGCAGAATGATGCTCCCTCAAAAAAGGAAAGAGATATGGATGCTTCTGTTAGCAGCTGTCAGGACAGCCTTGGCACTAACTTTTGCCACGCCACATAAACTGAAGCATAGCATTTGGATCGCACGCCCCCTTTCATGGCTACCAGCCAGTGAGCATCCTTTTTGGAACGCTAACCTGCTGGGGGGACTGGAGAAGATACAAGAGGCAATGAGAAACCTTCATCTGTAAGGCTGGCTGCTGCTTAGAGGAAGGCTTGGCTTAGCACGCTTGTTCCATGTGGTATGGCTCAGAAGGCTCAGGGGCTGGATTTATGCTCCCTACACACTCTTGGGAGGCAGGATTTGCTCACCTCTGCCAACTATTTTTTTTCCTTTGCTGGCAGGGCTGCCCTAGCTGAATTACACTGGTTTCCCTTCATTCTCTTAAATGTATTTTCCCTTTTATGCTGCCTTTGCACGAAGGGATACTCATGCCATGTGCCAGAGTAGGGCACTGTTTTCAGCCTAGTCACCACAGAGGTACAAGTCCTAGACATGGGTGTGAGAGATGTTAGGCTCAATTGCCTCTGCCCATGCTGCTGTGGGTCTATGTGGGCAGAGGCCACAAGAAGATGTAGGTCAAGAGTGGAATCTGGATTTTTGCATTTGCTTGATTTAGAATGAATGATTGGGCCCAGATTCTCACTCTTGTAAGGTTTGGGGATGCGGTGGGGCAGGTTTGAAGGACACCCACACACCAGGAGACTACCCCGTTCCTTTTTTATTAATTTGAATGAAAAATGCTGACCAGCTCTAAATCCATATTGTGTGTGCTTAATCAGCTGGCTTCATTCTCAAACAGCAGGGGAAGGAGTTGGGAAGGGGGGTACTATTCCCAGATGAGCTTCTGATGCAACAGGGTAGTTGCTTTGTCTTCGGGTTGGTTCCCCATCTATAAACTAGGTCAGAATTATTCCCAGGGCTGCCAAGACTTTTAATTAATATTTGAAGTGCATTTAGGTTATTATGGAGAACAGTCTGTAGCAAATGACTGACACACAACCTGATGCATTCATAGAGAAGCACCCAATCAAAATCAGGCGAATGTCACAGCTCAGAAAACAGATAGCACATGACAAAGACCTTCCAGTGTTCCTACCTCTTACAATGTTTCTGAAAGTCTTCTAATGTCCCTCCAGCACCACTTTAAAGCCCAGGCATTTGGAGTCATGGGTTCTTTTGTGCAAGAATCTCAATTTTCATTTTTTTAAATAAACTAAATACAATCCTTGGTGTAGTAGAGAAAAGCCTGAAGCTGAGATCAGAGCTGACCCTGAGACTTGGAACCAGAAGACGAGCAATACAGTTTGGACACTTAAATATCTCACTATTTTTAAACCAAGCTGCAATAATACTCGGTGGCCTGAATGGTGAATTTTGAATGCTTAGGGCTGGCAGTAATTGGAATAGCACAGATGCAGGTTTAGTGAAATTGTTTCTTGGAAGAGTGGGTATTGAAGAAAGAGGGGTGAGGTAGGGAGAAGCGGGCCTACAGTGGAAAGGTATAAAATCCTGCCAGCTTACTGGTGATGAAAGGTGATATGAAACAGGATGGCACCTGGGACAGGCCATGACAGAAGCAAAATGGGAGGGAAGAAGTGGGATGGAAGCAAGTGCCGTGAGCTTGGGATGCGAGAGGGATAGATGACTTCCTGGAGGCCTGGGCAGGAGAGCTAGGGAGCAGAGGAAGAGGGAGATGTCCTGGAATGGGGATGCATTGGGCTAGCGAGGAGGGGAGTGGGCAAGAGACACAAGCTGTGTCAAGTCTCCTGAATGATTAAGCAGACCTGGTTAGACAAAGACGGGAAAGGAGGAAGCTTTTACTCTGAAAGGTTCAAAATGGGTCTGATGTTTTGCCCGGGGGCCACTGATTGTGTTCCTGAAATGCTCATCGATCGTGCTCACGGAGCTGATGCCAGATGGAAGATCTCGGCAGCTTCCTGCGAACAACAGAAAAGGTTGGGATTGATGGAGACTTTGTTTCTCATACAAAAAAAAAAAGGCTGGCTCTGGGGACAGGCTCCTTCTTCCTGGGAAGAACCCCTGCAGAAAACACGGCCTGGCTGCGCTGCACGGGGAGGGGTCCTGAGCTATTGGATGGGAGACCCCCTACCCCAATCTGAAGGCTGCCACCCTTTGCAGCTCTATATGAGTTATTTCAGAGCCGCACTCCCCTTTGCCCAGCAACCAGTCTTTTGTGTGCTGAGATGACAAGGCCTTTTCCCCAGCAGGCTCCAGCCTCTGGGAGGGATGGAGGTGCTTCTGCCAGAGAGAGAGAAAATTGCTTTGTTCCCAAAATAGCTGGGAGGGTGAAGTCCCCTCCTCCTCCCCCACCCCCGGGCTCAGCCTGGAGCATGCCGCTCGGTGCGTGCAGCCAGCCCGGCGGGCCGGCCTCTCTCTAGGACCCTGCGGGAGCGAGCCGGGCCGTGGCCGGAATGCAGGCACTGCGCAATGCCCGAGATTCATCACTCAATATCTTGGAAACGCGGGGAGCCGGGGCGGCGCGCACTGGGCGGGGGCTGCACTTAGCGCACAGGAAAGAAACTGCAGCTGGAAATTAAGCGAGCCCCTTATTTGATTGATTTGGGGGCTCCTTTCCCTCCTTCCAGCACCCCCGCTCAGCTTGCTGGCCCCTTCCCCGGGGAAAAGATGCGTGCAGGAGGCTGGTGGAGATTGGGCTGATTTTGGGGGGGGGGGGGG